ATGTCTCAACATCACAGGACCTCTCCTCATTTTTAAAGGAGAGAATCTGCCTCATTTCACAGAGCGAGCAGTATCTTCTGTACTTTAATGTCTTTGTAGCTAATTTAAAAGCAACCTGAGACGTCTTTAAATAGATGGTAATACATTAATACCTTCACCTAGTGACCCCTTTTATAACAGTTTGGGGTGTTTTTTTGACCACTGAAAATCTTTCTTTGTTCCTATGCTCTCTTCTGCAAGCATACTGTAAATTTGCTTATGTTTTATTTATAACTTTTCCAGTTTCATGATTTATTTCAAGGTCAGATTTTCCTGTAATAAAAAATATTTTTACTGTTACGCAGGTCCTCGGTTGATTTTTTTTATATATATATAAAAAAAAAACCCTTATGGGTACGGAATATCCTACTCAGCTGTAGGAGACTAAAATGGGAATCTACACTGGAATTAATGAAGGTATTTCAGGTTGTATTTCTTCAGCTACACAAACCAGATGAGCTATGGTAAATAACAACATATATCAGAGTTTCTAAAGGGATAGTAACTACAGTTAATCCATCTGAATGTAATAATCCTGTGGTATTCAGTGAATTTAGGAAGATAAAATTAATGAATATTTATGCATAAATTATTTGGTTCTTACTATGTGACTACTTAGCCACTAAATAGTTACAGTAACCAGGATATTCCTGATTCTCCATTGCTTAATGTGTATACCTGTTCACACCTCTGTAACTTGGCTATAAACACTACCAAACAGAATTTTTAATTAATTTACATTAGTATCTACATATTAACTGTAAATAGTTGTAAGCGCTTTCTGACCACAAGAAAAGCTTCCAGGATGTTACCCAAATTCCATGCAAAGTTTAAGAGCAGGACTTGCTAGCTCAGGCTCACCTCCATGCCTTTTGGTAGTTTTATGGTGTAAGTAGTGTGAGCATCCTGTAATAACTCACTGAGAATATTTTAAGTGAGCAATGCACTAATTCGCATATCCAGTAAAATTATTTTAACTTACTCAACATTCAAAAGATGCAAAGCAGTCTTAATGTAAATTCTGCTATTAAAATGCAGTATTCCTTTACATCCACATCATGTAGTATTCGGGGGACTGGAATGGTAAATGAACTGTTCCAAATGAAACAGCAGGGAGGACAGTAACATTTAATTATCTGAAATTTGATGCGAATGCAAACGTTCACACTCGTGCTCCTGCAGAAGCTGCCCTAGGATCCTTAATGACTTCAGGTTGTCAAAACTTCCATTTCATTGTACATTCAAGACGACAGTCCCCCTGGTACTACACTGCCCACTAGAAGCAGGCAAGGGCGGAGATATCATGTTTAATCAAAGAAAGTGAGCTTGCTGCTCCTGCCTCTTCCTTCAGCTGCTATTTGAATTCTTCACGATACAAATCCTCAAGAGCTTCAGTGAGAGCTGTGGTGGGACCACAGCCTGTGAAGGCATGGCTGCAAGTAGTTTAGTGTTCATTTAGAGGACTTACTCTGTTTGTTAATCCATGCCTTTGATCTGAAATATTCAGAATGTTTAATATAGTTTGGCTGTGTTTATTGTAGTTCAAAGTTATTGCCTTCTGCGCTTTATATTTTGTGTAGAGATGTATTGTTATATTACTTTCTCTGCTACTGAAAATATTTGTCAAAAGTGCAACGAGTTTGGCAGTACCCAACTAACGTTCCCTTTGCAACAGCACTAGCAGAGGCTGGCATTGTACCCAAGGAGAACATTTACTGGTTTAGCAGGTGGTGCTGCCAGTACAGATTGAAATGTTTTTTTGAAAATATAAGAAGTGGCATTAAGAAAGCCTGTGCTCTTAATGGCTTTCGGAGTAAAGCTACTGGTTTAATTTATATCTACAATTGGCTATGGAAAAGCCTCTGGAAAAGACTAAAGTCTTGCAATATAGCACCTGGAGCGGGGGATGTTCTGCTACTAGCTTTATTGATCTAAAGCTTGTATCCATTAAAACAAGAAAACAAGAAAATAGTAAGACTATTTTATGACACCGTGTCTTAACAATTCCCACTATCAGAGAAATGCTAGATATTCAGTTAAATTGTTGGATAGATAAATAGTTGTTTCCCTTACAGTTCACGTTTTTTGCTCAGCATGGTCCTAAGACCAAATGAAGTCTTACAAAGGCCACCTGGTATAAATAAGCTGCAATTCCATTACACCCTAGAGAGGGGCTGGGGCCGATTAAAAGAGAGAGTTAATGAGACTATAGCTTCTCCCCTAATCCCCAGTGGCATTGAGGACAGTTGCTAGAGGCAGGAGCAGCCACATGGCTGGGTAGGTTTCTGCCCACCTTCCTAGCAACTCTGTTCAATGCTGCACCGCTGAGCAGGAATTTCAGCATCACAGCTACAGGCTGGACACCTTAGTCCTTTAGTAAAGCATCTGTCATGGGGGCTTTTTGCACACTAAGTAGATGAGAAGTTGTTAGTAACTGTAAAATTTGATCTTCTGGGACAAATCTGTATACAATGTGATTCCCTTCAATTTAGTGAAGATGTATTTAAGTAAGATATATTAAAATACAATCCAAGAAAGACAGTAAATATCTAGCATGCCTTGAGCCTAATGGTAAAGTTTCTGGAGCTTCTTAATGTTAGTCTAGCATCAAATTTATGATTAAGATGAATTAATGATTTTCTTTTATTTTTGTGACTCATTCCTTACTCAAAGAAAGGCGTCAAGAAACACTAATCTTTGGTAAAAACTTCATTCACCAATACTTTAGTGGCTCTGTATTACAATTATCTGTTGATCCATGAAGGACTTAAAGAGTAATTTAATAAGAATGTGTCAAGCACTATAAAGTATATGTTTGAGATCATTTTTCTGTATGTGGAGTACACTACTGGCTCACTCTACTGTGCTTGTCACTGACCCTTATCTTTAATGATATTCCTGATATAATTAATGATGATATATGATTAATATGATGATGTAATTAATTCTTATAGAGAAAACCGAAGTATTCCATTGCTTAGTGCTCAGAAAACTTCAAATTTCCATGCTGACAGAGGTATTAACTTAATAACTTAAAAACTTAAAAACACTTTTAAAAACTTTAAAAAACTCTAAAAAACACTTAAAAAAATAAAATACATCCTTTTGTCTGAAAAGCAATTGAAAATCTGTGAGGTGACTACAGCTGCCTGAAGCTCAGTTACTTTAATAAATGTATTCCAAGTTTCATCTCAATTACGTTTGCATTAATGAATGATTCTCACCTACTTGCTAGTTTGGCAACCCAGCTAAGTTTATTAAGTTATTGTATAAATGTGTATTCAGAAGCCAGAAATTAAGTGCAGAAATATTTGATGTCCTATTGCAGCAATGTACTGTAAATCTATAGTACAGGAAAGTGTATTGATCACCTGTGTATTTTGTTTGGATTTATTTTACCATTTTTCCCACAATAATAGTCCATGAACCTTCAGGGTCAGTCATAAATGTCTCAGAAATAAATCTATTGAATTATGAAAGGAATTTTTTTGTTTAAATGAATTCATTATAACAGATTTTCTATCTGCTGCATTTCTACTGATTTTATTTCTTTGTTAGTACTTGGAGATAATGGAGCTGTTTCTTGCAGTACTTGGGACTTCAAGGAAATCATAAATTGAGAATGTTTGTTCACAGTGTGCGTAGCTGTTCCTGTTGCTATACTAAAATGAGCCATATACATATTAAAGTCTTCTATCTTAGATAAACCTTACAAAATCATACTGATTGTACTTTGTCACTTTTATACATCTTCCTCCAATAACATTATGAGTTTCTGCAAAAAAAGAGCCTAGTTAGTAATTAACTTTGTTTTTGTCTTTGATTCATGTAATAACCTTGTTGTTCACTGTTTGTAGTGTTGTAATACACAGCTACAGCCATGCCTTTATCTTTAGTAGAGGATGTTTATAGCAGTGCATGCAGTAAGCAGGAAAGGCAAAATGGGAAATTCTTTTTTCCACATACAAATAACCTATGTTTGGCAGAAATGAGAGAGAAAATTGCACATGAAATAAGATTTGGAGGTTTTTCAAGTGTTCTTATAAAAAACAGACAATCAGACACAACTCTAAAGCCCTTGTGTTTTTCTAAAGCATACAGCATTTCTTAATAGGGATGTGACTTTCTCATAGTAGCTCTTTGGTTTGTTTGTTTTTAACCCTAAGTTAGGAAAGAAAGGTCCAGCAGAGAGGCTACCATTATTACCAAGGTGGAACTGGTGAATTCAGTGCCTGAAATGTGCACCCCATATGACCTTCAGGTGCTTGAATCTGTCTCTGATAAGAGAAGGGGGTTATTACTTCTCACTAAAAAGGAAGGAAATGCAGCTTTCAAGCAGATTGCATCTGAAAGAATCAATACAGCCCGATGACACTTAATCCAGAAGTCAGCAACACATTAAGGGGCTGTGTCTTTGCCTGGTTAGGATGCTTGTCTGGCTTGGATCAGCTGCTATTTTCGAGCTGACATTTTAATCAAAGGCTATAGAGTAATCAGATGCCATATCCACTTCACTACCCTAGCTCACCTTTTCTCTTTTGCCTTTGCTGCCATCCTACTGGGAGTGCATTATGGTTTTTACTTTATTTCCTCCTCTTATGGTAATATCCTACCTGTTGTCTTCAGCTCACTTACAGGCTTCATTGACAGCCTATCTGTTACTGATAGTGGGGCCTTCTGACAGCAAGTGAAATTCAGCAGCCACCAGGTAGCTTCAGGACTGTGCCTGTCAGCCTGTGACAACTGTGTCAGTTAAGTGAGTTAAAACAGTGAGGGGCTCAGTGCTCAACCGCCTGCTATAAATTACAATTACGGAATTTTTATGTCAAATACTGGACAAAGCAATGCTGAGTTCAATATATGTTATAGTTAATCAGTGCTGTGCAGAGATAGCTCAAGAAAGATCTGCTGGTTCGTGCTGGGGAATTGTACACTGACCGTCTTATGGTGACTTTTGGCAGGCGTCATATCACTGCAGTGAAGCAAGGGAGAGGATATTTTCATATGCTTCACCAAGAATCTCTGGAGAGGAAAAAGGCATTGAGAGCAGAACAACAGGCTCAGGACATGAGATGGAGAACGACATGTCAGCCACCCAGATATTCATCTGATGAGGAGTCTGAGGAAGAGATAAGTATGTAAGTCAACTCAGAGGGGGTATGGTGGTCCGAGTGGTTTCCTTACACTGCCTGTTAACTGGCAGTTTGAAAGCCTGCTTTACCTGCCCTAGTTCAGACAAGACAGAGAAGCCCTGGCAGTCCGTGTTGGGTATAGGAATTTCTACTCCTTTTTTATATTGTATTCTTGGCATACTATGCAGGAAGTGTTATATTTTTGAAAAATGCTAGCTCCATAATACTGCCCTGCTTGCTTTAGAAAGATATTTGAGGTTTTCATACCTCTTTACTGCCTTTAAAATGCAAGTTGATGCTTTTAATATGACACCCTGATTCAGAATAACAGAGGAAAAAATTTCAAAAGTAGCTCTCAAGGAACCTGCATTTCCTGACAAATGACTGTTTATAGACCAAAAGGCCTATTGTAAAGGTTTCATTCAGTTCCACATTCTATGCTCATTATCTTTGTAAGTGAATATTTTCAGTAAATTTTAGTTTGTGTGATTGTCATGATTTACAAATATAGCAAATAATAATAAATAATTGAAGTGTTTAATTTGTAATATTAACTACTAGCAAATTTTGTACTTCATAATTCAGGAATGCACCTGAGCGTGTGTGTGGGTTTTGTTTTTTGGGTTTTTTTGTTTGTTTGTTTTATTTTAAGTAGGAGAGATGGAATGTGGTGGTGTGAATACAGTGAACAATTGTATTGGCTCTGTCTTCATTTCACATACTCTTTTAATAACTTCTGTCTTCATTATTTCCCACAGTCCTACAGCTCTGACAGAAGACCACTCCCAGGCAAAGATAGTGAAAAGAAGGAGAAGAAAGAGGATGACTTTACGGTCTTTCACTCCTGTTTATACCAGTGTCTTGATTCCAAACGCCACTGGAGCAAAAAGGTATCTTTTAAGGCAGATTATGTTCTGCATTTGTCTTAGCAGGACACATGCAGAATTCAGGGCAACAGAGGCACATAACACATACACCAAGAACCTCTGTTCATTTGGTGAACATGATTCCTGAGAATTTCAGAAATATGTGGTGAAATAGGTTGTTTTTACTAATAGCAGCCACTTCGGCTATTTTCTCCTAAGCGCAAGGCTGTTGGAAGGTACCTTAGAATCCAAAACCATAAGAATCCAAAGGAGATTTTTTTTTTCTAAGTTTGATCTTAGCAGTTCTCAAAGTGGTCCCACTGTCAGAAAAGTCAAATCTTCCTTGACCACACCAGCTGTGCACTGAGGTATTGACCTCTAGGTTGGTCTGCTCCCACTCCAAGTCTTTCTTCTTCAACTGCAGATGCTGCCGTCACAAAACCAAAAATAACTTTGCCTTTTCCAATAAAACGACAGTATTGTCCTATTTAACCTCCTCATAAATTCCAAACCTATGTCTAAGATTATTGTGAACAGTCATTTGTTTCCTGATTGTCAGCTAAACCCCCTGCTTGTATGTTTTAATGAAAGCAATTCAGCAGCGACTCAGTTTTGTTTTGAAACGACTCCCTCCCCTTCCCTGCAGCCAGTAAGGGCAGTGGTGGGTGCAGCAGGAGCAAGAGGAGCACCTGGCTTGGGGCAGGGTCGTACACGTGTGGTACCAGATCTCCAACTCCTCATGTGGACTAGGCACTGGGAATAATTTTGCCAGTGTGCAGTAGCGGGTTGTTTGGGTATTTGTGCGATGAACAGCAACTTTTCATCTCATATGTTCCTAGGGTGGCACACCAGATTGAAAGCCCTGGCTGGTTTGCCAGTTTGACTGTGTTTCCCTGGCTTTTTAGCAAAACGTTTTTGTTTATCCTCTTCTTGCAGTGAACATCTTTTCCGGCAGCTGTGTGCCATACACTGGCTTTTGGAAGCTTTGACTCTCGAATCCAGCACTTCTATGCATTCCATATTAGCCTGCTGGAATCCAACGTAAGTTTGCAATGCAGGAGAGTCTTGAAAGGATTGAAGGGTTTGGGGTTTTTTGTTCTTGATACATTGTTGGCACTTTCTTCAGGTAAGAGCTGTTTGAGTGAAATGTTATTGATTTAGCCATGCAGCATGAACAACTTGTGCTTTGACTTTCCCCCCGTGCAGTCAGCAGGGAGTTGTACATTCAAATCAGTAGCACAGCATGGCCCTCAATTATTACAAGTTGCAGAACTATCAGAAAATACTGAGCTTTCCCTGCCAAATTCAGTTAATTAGTTGTGTTTGCTTTCTCATTCCCCCCCCCACCTTTGTTTAATAATTATGCACATTAAATACATGTAGTAATGTATGTATATTTCTGCAGCCTTCCTTAGAGGGTTATCCCTGTGAAATAACCATGAATTTCAGATATGCTGTAATTACTGAACAAAGCTGACTATTAAGTGGTATGTACTAGCTGGTTTTATTCTGTCAATTATGTATGACAGTGATGAGTACTCGTAAAAGATGCGCTGCTGCTGAACTTTTATACTGTTAGCAGTAAATAGTAATTTAATTTCTAAACATCTTTCATCAATAAATACAAAATAGATGACACTGAATGTATTTAAATTATTCATGCCTGGTAAAACAGCGAACAGTTGATTCTTTGATTTGCAGGGTAAAGCTCTTCAAAGCTGTTTTGTTTTCTCCTTATATTCTCAATCATTTAATTAACCAGGACAGTTTTCCTTTGTATAACAGAGGTGGATAGTACTCATACACAGAATGAGCCTGGTACCCCAGCGAGCAGATTCAGTCCAGGATGTGCTGTGGATGAGATTTGCACCCCTTTACAAACAAGGACCAAGCAATAGAGTGGAATAAGAGAAACAATTTTCTAGCAAGTCTCCAGATATTGGCTGACAACAGAGTATAAGTGCATAGGACTCTGAATTCATTTCCAGATTCTAAAGCAGAACAGTCTCATGTGGCATATTGTGCCTCTGGTGCTGTCTGTAACCTCACTTACCTCTCTCTTCTCTCTTTGCTCACTTTGCTCTGGTTCTTCATTTCCCTCTGCTATAGTGTACCACCTCATCTCTTGTATATTCTCTCTTCACCTCCTTGTTACTACACTTACAATGAGAGACAAATTCATGTAAAATTCACTTCTGTTTCTGTTTAGCTCCCATATCCTTCACCCTTACCTGGCTCAGGTTTCATTTGCTCCTATCTTGTTCATCATCTTTCAGGTACTTCATGTTCAAATTCTCCACTCTTACCCATACAAAGATGACTGTTTTTTTTCTTCTTTTCACTGCCTGGATATCATCAGATCCTGAGAATATAGAAGATAACTGTCTCTCAGCTCTCAGTTTTAATGTATGTGCTTGAAGATACAATTACCAGAAGCCTTTCAGTCTCTGAAACATCTGTTTACAGCACGCTGGTTGCAAACAGAATTCCCAGCAAATATGATTGCTATTCTAACATCTCTCTATTGAATATGTTCGTTCTGACCCCTTTTTATCTGGCCGAATCTGGGAGAAATTCTATGCAGCACCAAAAGAACATCTTAAGCACTATGATACCCTTCTCACAAATCGTGCTGTCTTTTTGTACAGCACCGAAGAATTTAAGTACTGAGACAGTATTTTCCATTATTCTTAAAGATATTTGAAGTTAAAATTTACCTGAAAGAGGGAAAAGCAATCATAAATAACAGAAAAACATCTTGACATGGGTGTCAAAGGTGGAATATTCAGCCCATGTTAAGGTTAGTAAGGGTTTAAGGAAAAGTAAAAAGTCTTAAAGTGTGAAGCGTGAAGCATTGTCAAGTTCTGCTACTGCTATCAGTTCCACTTCTGAGAAGTTAAACCTGCCATCATTTCTATCCATGAAACCTTGTTACAGTGGAAAAAAGTTCTTCTACACTTGCACAGAGGAAACTGAGAGCATAATTTGGCCTAATGCTTGCATTATGATTTGTAGTATAAATGACCGTGCTTTCTTAATACTTTTCTTCATTTGTGACTATAACTTACTCCTGGCTTATACTGCTGCTTTCTTGAAAGTGAAAATATATGTCGTGGTAGAGATCAGCTGCCATTTATCTTTTCTTTATTGCATTTCTTAAAAGAATTTGTAATAAAAGCAGGAGTCTGGAGATGGAAACTAATTGAGTTGTTTTCCACTTAGGGACCCTGGTGGCTCTAAAAAAACATTAGAAGAAATTGAAGAGGAAAAGTTAACAGCATACATGTGGGAGCTCTTTATTACAGACACAAAGGTAACCTCATTACTAATATCTTCCTTGGGATCTAATGTAACTTTTTGAGCATTTGTTTTTCTTTGTTTTGTTGCATAATGGAACTCCCTGATACAACATGATGTGCTCTGGATCTTTTGACCATAGAATTCTCTTCTCTGTTTTGAAGAAAAACCTGTTTGATAGGTAACAGGAAGAACAATATGTAACTGTTTTAGACTGTGAAAGGTGGGGCTTGGCCTTAGAGATAAATATTGACGTGAAAAGAATTAAATATTCTCAGAAAATGTAGCTAACCTCTTATTTGTGTTTTCTCTCTTTTTTTTTCATTTTTTTAATCGGTTGGTGACCTGACCCTGTAGATCCATCATCACAAAGCAGTGCTTATTCTAGCAGGCCCTTCTGAGTCTAAGGAGGATTTTAATCTGGTGCCCTAGTTTGTCTTTGAGACCTCTTCCTGATAGTTTTCTTGATGACTTGTTTGGTTGCCTTTTAATACATAATGTAAAACTAAATTAGGAAATGAAATCTAGATGTTGAGGCCTTTAAGGAAAGCAGAATTCACTTGCCATAAGCAAAGCTAAGGAGAAAATGAACAATTCAGATGAAAGTCTTAAAAATTGCAGCATTAGCTAAAAGGAAGTTAAAGTGAAGAGAACATCAAACTAAACTGTAGCCAATGGTCTGTGTTGCTTTGATAACTGTTCTGCTGTGATAGTCCATCCTTCTGAAACCACAGCAAGTGTTTTTGTCTATTTGAAACTGCTGAAGTGACTAGATGAAAATGAAGGGGAGTGAGTATAACTAGGAGAGTTAGGTAAAGGAATATCAATGGGTTAGTGTTCTTCACTCTGCACTACATCTATATTTTGATCTTCAGCAGTTTGCCTAAGCTTTCAGTTGCTTGCTTTGCCCCCCTAGAAGGCTAAATTAAGGAAGTTTCCAAGTGCTTTCAAATCCCCAAGTGAAGCACGCTTTTTTGAAATACGAGCTGCTGTTACGTGCAGACTATTTGCTCTTGTTATTTGTCAAGCACCTGCAGCTTGTACTCTCTTGACATAATAATTAAAATGATTTAGTAGAAGCTTATGATTTCCATTGGGGAATAAGCAGCAAGAGTTGTCAAACCTCTGAAAGACAAAGGTGGTGTTTTTATGCAAACATTCTTCCCACTGATAGTAAACAGAGAAGGAAAGTCAGTGAGTCACATAAATAACAGAGTTGTTTCTAAGTAGAGACTTTCCCATTTTTTCTTTAAGTCTTACCAATTCTTACCAAGTCGGGTCCAAATGAACATAAACAGAAATCCAAAATGCATGTCAGCCTTGTTGTATCTTTTAGCATTCATGTTGCAGTGCCTTTTTTTTTTCTTCCTGCTTGAATCAATGACAATTTCCTTTCTGTTGTCTTTTCTTTAATGTTATTTGAACACTGCTTTCGTATTTGCTTAGAAGCTTCCAGAGTGAATGCATGAGGTTCTTCCAGGGGCAGTTGCTGTATGATGCACACTGTTCTGATTATCAGTCCTGCCAAATTCAGCCTGTAGAAGTTTCACATTCCTGACACAGAAAATTAATTTACTAGGTTACTGTGGAGGGGGAGAGGAGCTATGAACATTTATCAAACTGCTTTCACCTTTACCTCCGTGGACATGAGAAAGCTGCTTTATTACGAGCCCCCTCAGCTGCAGGGTTACGTGTTTACAAATTAGCTTAATCTGTTGGCATCAATGCCACACCAGAGGAGTATTCCAGAGTACACCAGAGGAAGACCTCAAAATGAAGGAGGTCCTATCCAAGTAATCAGCTAGCTTGTTAAAGTCTGAAAAAACACCTGAGAGGTTACAGGAAGGCCAGAAGGGCCTTATGTTGGAAGTAGTTACGGAAATAGGATTCTATGCTGTCAAATTTGCTGTAGAAATCCCCTCCTTTATTTTCATTCTTTCTCGTATGCACAGAAATTCACCCGGAAAGCACGGCACAGTCCACTTGGCAAGAAGATATACAAGACGGTCTCTACTCTAGGCATCTCTCAGCTTAGTAGTCAGTCATCTCCCCACACTCAAACTCCTCCTGACAGCACACCACCTCTTGTCTTCTGCTCTGAAGACAATGTCAACACGAATATAACTTCATCTGATGTTGCAAGTGAATCAGCACAAACTAAAGAAGAAGAAGAAGCTCTTTGCCCTGGTAAGTTGCTTTTTTTTGACTGCCAATAAAAAAGAAAATGCATTTGCTTTCCGTGTTACTAGGAAGAACCAGCTTAAAGACACTGCTGGATGTAGGAATTTATACGTCCTCAAGCTTACAGAATTTTGTACAACTCTCCATGCCATCCTCCCTGTTAGCAAATTGATTTAAAGACAGTATAATCCCATGTGGATATCAAGAAGGAGTTTTAATTAATATTCAGATAGAGCACTGCATGATCAAACTGTTTTCCACGTCAGTAATGCCCGACAAGAGATGAAAAAAAGTCAAGCTGTTCTCTGGCATAACTAACTGATGCAGTGAATTTTGACAAGGACAGCAGAAATACATGCTGTTTAATTTTGGAGTATGTTACTCTGTATTCCTCCTACTCATCCATTGGTAATTACCTGTCCATGACAGAGCTGACAGAAGAGTTTATCTGACAGCTCTGTAATGCATTTCAGTACAAAGCCAGGTAATCTTAATTCTTTCCTCTTCCTCTTGACTCAAGCTGGAACAGATAAGCATGTTAGCATTTAGTACTGCCAAATTTTCTTTTAAATTGATGTTTATATTATCATTATTAGGCTGACATCATGCTCTGCTAGTCTTTATTTTAACACTCAGGAAGGAGGTCTTGGAGTTATTTGAGGTACTTCTTCGAATGCTCAGTAATCAAAAGGCAAAAAGAAGCTAAGAACGATATGGAAGGAAGTGGGAAACAAAGAAAACACAAAACACAAAATATAAAGTACAAATGTATGGTATGTCCTTCTTATATTCTGGACCTTTGAATGCAGGTCGTATTAAAGCTGTAGCTGCTGAGAGCCTCAGCTGCTGTGGGCCATGAAGAAATATCCTGTGGTGCCTGTGATGCCTGGGAAGGATGTCCCAGGCACCCTCTAGAACAACATCTGTTACATGATTACCTGTGATTTCGGGCTGTCCTGAGCAGCCATCCTGGTCCCTAGATCTAAAAATCATGCAAAGTTAATTTCCGCAGAACAACTCTAGCAAGAGTTGGTATAGATAACAAATTCTGTAGCTGCTAGGATCATGCTTAGTGTAGGATTCTAATTATAGGGTGCTTCATGGGCACCAGAAATCCAGAAATGGATTACAAGAAATCAGCTGTCCTGTACCTTTATAGTCAGAATTCACAAAACTCCATATAACTCATACAGACGTGACATGGAGAGCACACACGACTCTCACCCACACGCACACACACACACACACGTATATATATCAAAAGTGGGAAAGGATTTCATTTTAGGCAGCTAATCAGCAGATCCATCTGAGTGTGACTCTTACAGAAAGTTTTTAATTTAAGGAAAGAATTCGTAAGTGTGTTTAAAGCCTTTTGCTCAGTTGTAATTTAGATGTTGCTATTTTGGGACTGCTGCTGTGGAATGTCTGCTCATGCAAAAGACCTGTATTAGTGCCAAGGTTTTGAACACTGCATTGGAAGCTGCAGTCTTCAGGTCACTGCTGAGGTTGTCTCATTTATCACTCAGTCCCCATCTAATCAGTCCAAGGTTTTACAAATGCAGATTAGTGTTCCAAGCTGGTGAACTTCACTACATCTAGAAATCGTCCTTTTTTGTACATAGAGACTGTATAATCTCTGGTCTGAATAGCATAGTACTAAGTGTAAGCCTAATTTATCACGCTTACTACATAATGAAGTATGTGTGCATGCAAATTAGTTCAAATGACAAACATTTTCTTCATTTGGGGAGGTAAAATATGGGACCTGTGTCTGAGGAGTTAAACACTAACCATATTTTATCTCCAAAGCTTTTCAGGCAGCAATTTAGTTTTGTGATTCCCAGTCAAAAACACAGTTTTTAAAGTTACACATATTTGTAAGAGGATCTTTATCATAAAGCTTATGCCCAAATTTGTGGCTTTTCTTTGGAGCTGATTAGTGTCTTAACAATGAATTGGTCATTGTCAGATTCCTGCAAAACAGGTAGATGTTTTCACCCTCCTTCACAGAGGATGAACTTTTTGTGGCTCAGTCAAGTTGTGGAAGAGCTGGGGATAACAAGCCCTGTTGCTGCAGATTGCAGTCAAGTGAAATTACTACAATTGCCTTTGCTCTTTTTTTAATTTTTTTTTCTCTCTAATTAATGCCTTACTAATTGCCAGCTGTGGAGGTCAATATTTCAAGGTTATTCATTTCCTCAATCTTTCCAGGTGGAAAGATGGAGTAGGTTCTGAAGCTACAAAATATTTCTTCATTTCTGTTTCTTCCATTTCATAAACATCTATGTGGAAGGTGTTTAATACTCTCTGCTTCACTTTTTTTCCACAGATGAAAGAGCAAAGCTCATACATTCAACAGTGACTAGTGAAGTGGGTGTCCAACTTCAAATCAAGTTTAAACTTTAAAACTTTAGTATGTATATATACACATACATTTTTAAAAAACATTAAGTAACAGATCTCTTTCAGATGTCTCATTCAGGCCAGTGCATATGGCATTGTTTCTGGAATAAAAAGGGGAATTCACTATTGAGTTGGCATGTTTTTACAGAATTTTTTTTTTGTCAGCCCTACAGAGGTTGATCCAGATAACACATGAAGAGGTGTCAAAAGATTTTTATAAAGAAGAAGATAGAATTAAGAAGACTGAACTGCAAGGGTATGTTGCCCAATGGGCTTCTGAATGGCTAGGAAAAGCAACTTACCTCCACAGAGCTTATGTATTTTTCAGAACAGCTGGATTAAACATTCAGTGAATTCAGAGGACACTGATGTTTCTTGGCATGGGTGGCAGAACAGCCCATATTACTACTGGGCATGGATTATCTATTTTCTGATTTATTTTCAAACCTTCAGTATTTAATGTTCAATATTTATTTTTCATACCCCATGAATCTTGCTCCTTGCAAAAAATAAAAAAATAAAAAAAGATCTTATGCTGCAGCAGCTCTGTAGGAATAAAGATACCTTCTTTTATCTTCTCTTGTCTACTTTTGGAAATTCATTAGATGTGCCAAAGCAAGATGGTTCTTGCTGCAGCTGGCCCCTTGGCAAAGAAGTAAGAAATAATATCCTAACTACTGCTTGAGCTGGATTCTGTTCCTAGCATTTCTGCATGTTACCTAAATTAAGTAGATATAACTTGGTTCTGTGGTAGTTTCCACAGCAATAGAATCAGCACAACAAACCATTCTTATAATCAAACTTTGTAGAAGACTTTTTTTCATTTGGGTTGAGCCCAGGGAAAATCCTACTAATAAAAAAAATATACCTGGATAGCTCCAATACATCTGTGGTATTAAAAATGTTTCCTCAACACCTGTAGGATGTCTCACACTCAGGAGAAGACATATTGTACAGTGTTTTACATCTTATCTTGTCTCACAGTTTGCTCTCAGTGGCTCCGAGGGATGACAGAGTGAACGTGGCACTCGCTAAGGAGCAGGAGAACGTCCCCTCGGGAGAGCAGAAGGCCAGGCGGTAGGGACGAGGACACGAACGTGTGTCTGAAGCACATTGTGTGTCTTGTAAACTCAGCTGTGTGTGTGGAAAGCATTTAGCATGCAAGTGTCAGAGAGCAAAGAGCATTTTACTGCAGTGAGACCAGGGCAGCCGGGAACCTTTGCAGCATGCATCAATACAGTGCAAAGGATTTTTCCCTTGGATTTCCTGTTGCTATAACTGATAGTTATATGCTTGGATTTCTGTATTTACTATAATGATTATTCCTCCTTTTCATATCATCTTTTTAACAAAATTAAAGCTAACTCAAAATGACTGTTTTCAAGGCAAGAAAAGTTCCTTGATGCCATAGCTATGAACTTGCTTGTCCCCAGGTTGCAAAGTCTTTACCTGCACAAAATAGGATGCAGAATAGTTTGTGAATTCTTTTGTTCCTTTGTTTGTTGGTTTGTTTTTCCCTTGCAGCTCGCTGGCTCTGACTGAAAGGAAAGACGGAACAGCCGCAGCAACAACTAAAGAGGAGAGTCCAAAGCAGATGAAAAAAGCCAATGGGTAGGCATACTGTGTGCAGCATTACATTTTCCACAGCCTTGCTGCATGTAAAGTTTCATAGTTGCACATCAGATAAAATGTTGTGAAGTGGTAAACATTTATTATCAAAGAAGTTGGCCTGTTCATAATATCTAGTATTACTTGCAATTAGCAGTCTGTATTTATACAGATTTACTGTTCCTGCTCCCTGACTTGGGGTGATTTATCAGGAACCAATGTATATTACAATGTATATGACAAGATTTACAAATGTAAGTGTAACTTGATGTTTACTCTTAATGAGTATTTAAGAATTCCGGATGAAAATTCACTTCTGTAAACAGTTTTACAAATTAATCTCAGACCCTTGTTAGTTCCCAATGGTGAACAATGATGACAAACAGATTATGCATATAGGCAGAGTGAAATGCATTTTAAGTTACAGGCAAATATTTGAAGGCAGTTCTTCCATATATTTAATGAATTTTGAAAACCCCCTAAATTATAAAATTTGAATTTTCACTGTAACTAAGGAGATGTCAGAATTTAGCCATCTGAGAACTGAGGTCCTTGGGTTCAGGTCACTGTGTGTTCTGAGCAGCACAGATGGTTTCCACAAGATGGTTACCAGAAGACGCTTAATTCCAATTTTCTGTGTTGTTTCACTTGCAGCTGCCGTATCAGCTCTTTTATTAAAAGTAAATCGAATTTGTGTGCTGATGTGAGGCAAAAGTTCACAGCAGTGCGTGAAGAAGCAGCTTCTGGTTTACATGACACCCTAGAGAGCCTTGAGAGGTAAGAACAGAGTGTTTTCCACAACCCATAAGACACTACAGACCTTGTGTCTGACCAGGTTTAGGACTTGCCTTCAGGCCTTTAATGATGCATCTGGTTTATGTGGAGTGACATTAAAATAACAGTAACAGAGATGGTCCTGAAACTTTTTTGAATGCCAAAGTACAAAAAAATGTACTACAGGTTAAATATTTACAGTAGTGTTTTGGGCTGTTTCTGAACTACTTCTGTGGCTATACTTACTCTGGATGTCATAATCCTTTTCCCCCAAAGAGTGAATAATAAGTTCAGCCCGTGTGCAATCCATAGAGCTAACATATTTTCAGTTCAGCCATTGCTACGTTGTTCTTCGACATTACTTGGACTCTTCTTGTAGTAACAGTTGCAAAGTCCTCTCTGGAGGAGGGAATATAACAGCCGTTTCCTAGATGAGTGATATTTTCACTATGTTGAGCACTCAAAGTCTGTCACCTATTTCCTTTCATCCAGAAGCCTCATCTGTGATATTTTCTAGGCTCTTTCTCAATAAGCAGCAGACCTGAGGTCTTGTCTACATCACTGTTCTGAGGAGTGTTACAGACACTGTCTTCTTTCCTTTCTCTTTTCCTCCTGCTTTCCATTCTTATGTTCATCTGTATGCATATACCTTTGACTCTAAAGCTTTCCTTATCTGGAGCTTTGTTCTTTATTTTATTCCCTGAGCTGCTGCTGTGACTGGCTAAGGAATTAGGACATTCCAGCATCTTGCTGTAAGGAAGGCTGGATCAGATAGAAATGTACTTCTGGCAGCTATTTAGCCATGTTCCTTATAGCCTCACAAACATATTGTATTTGATCAGCATTTGAATATAAGTCATTTATTGGAAAGCAAAGCAGATATTTGTTTATTTTTCTTCTAACACAGTAGTGCTTTTTGTAGGAATGCATACATTAGCTCAAACTCAGCATAAAAGTTCTAGCACGGGTCATCCATTTCACCCTTTTTACCTTGTGTTTGAAATACTACTTTACTTTAAATCACTGTGCAGCATTACTGCTTGCTTTTAAGCAGTGGGTGCAGTACAGAAAGTGGAAAATAAATATAAATTTAAATATTTTGATGCTAAAGTTTGTTTCTTATTTCCCTACTAGAATTGATATAAAACATAATTATTTTAATAAGTTTGTAGAAATATACACAGAGCACTGCAAAACTTATTAATGTCCACAAACTAAACATACTATCTTTTCATTCATTTTTTTACCTTCCTTAGTATCTTCCTAAGTAACTGCCAATAAGAATGGTAATGTTTAACATAAATTTTAATCCTTTATTTTGTTTGTAGGAGACAGGAGGAGAGGTGTTATCAAAAGTACCAGGCTTTGAAGCATATGAAGTATTTTAAGAGGGACTTAGAAAGAATGAGACGGTTGGGAATGAGAACTGAAAGAGAACACGATGAAGATGAGCTCAAATGGTAAGGAAGCGTGGAGACCCCCCGTTCAGCTGAGTCAGGGCCCGAGAGTTTTGCCACTAGTACAACAAGCCTTTCTTTCCTTTTTACCTCCAAGTGAAACTAGAAAACATTCAAATCGCTACTTTTCACTTTCTCATCAGTCTCACAGTAGCATCAGTCTGCTATCCCCTCATAATGAAAATGATGAAATCTCAGACTGACAAAGCTGGGCAACACCCCTGTGGAAAGACAGAGTCTTGCCAGAGAAATTGCTTTCACCATGCCACTTATTTCATTTAAAGGAAGGTTGTTTTTTTCCCAATGCTCTACATTGCTTTGCCAAAATAATTGAATCACAGTAGAGGCATTTTACTAGCGTATGCTGTCAGTCTGGTTGTTTTATTTCTTTCATAACGTGAGAAAAGATAGAAATAATATAAACTGTGCGCAGTGGGGTTAAGAGCCCAATGAATTTAAGATATTTTCTTTGAACAGGGAGTTAAGAAATGTCTGGTTTATAAAAGACCTCTGTGTAATCTTGGTAACTCAACCAGTGGTCATGAGTTGGCTGTTGAGCTGCACCACTGCTGTACTCGCAAGTTTAGAACTGACCCAATTGTAAACCTGGTTCCTGGTTCCCTCCTTACTTAGGGAGGGAATTTCTCATCCTTCTACTGCTACAAAGTGCATCATAAACAAATGTCATCATTTGCATCAGTCATGTCAGGAGAGGCTTGGGGCAACAATCTCCACGATTGTCGTAGTAATACTGCAGAATTGACACAGAACATTTTTTAAGGGAGCCTTTTCACATGAGTTTTATTTTTATTGTAATGTTAAATTCTCCTTCTGCGTCTTTATATTCAGAGTAAAAAGGCAAAAACAGCGTGTTACGGAGTGCTCACATCAGTGAGATTTATGTGAGCAAATGGAGAGGGGAGAAATGATAGCACAGGGAAATGGAATAGTAAAGAGAATCAGAAAGTGTGTCAGATCAGGCACTGATTGTACAGGAAGATCCTCAGAGGCTAAGCAAAATAAAAAGAGGAAAGATGAAGAGGACAAATCAGTACATTTGGAAACAAATTGAAACATTTCTTAGGGTTTTATTATTAGCTTTCATACCCAAGTTTGTCGTTTAGAATTCAAATGAACAATGAAGAAGCATCTGTTTTAATGCCAGTGCACAAGTCTGGTAAAATAAACACTTTTACATTATTCACTGAGAATTACACTGACTATTGCATTCCTCTATAGCTTACACAAGGGAAAAAGGCTTTTAGAGGTGGTGAAGTAGCAGAAATGCCAAGCAAACCCAGACTACCCAGCAGATAAGAATTTGTTCCAAGGGTTTCTCTCTCATTGCTGCTCTTCTTTCCACTAAAGGTTTCCTGTGTTGCTGGCCAGACTCCCAGAGTCTGTGAAGAATGACCACTACGTACAGAAAATCCTGAAGAAACTGGAAAAATTTGGCAAGAATTCTGACTTGAGAATTCGTCCTGACACGTTCGTAAAGGCCCTGGCTGATCTCCAGGTGTGGGAACTGTGCTCTCCAGAAATAGCTGCAGCTGTGGAGGTGAGAAGGGTCCAAGTCTTGGTGCTCTGTGTAAAGAGCATGGGGAGAGCAGGCACTCGTGGGTGAAACACATGAAGTTACGAGATGAAATCATTGAGGATATCACTGAATGAAGATAGTAGCAGTCATCATTTAGTGTGTTATTATTCTGTATCATTTTATCATTAGGTCATTGCTGATTACTGCCCGAGTGACAGCGACTTATTCTGTATCATTTTATCATTAGGTCTGATTACTGCCCGAGTGACAGCGATGTTTGTCATGAATTTTGTGGATGCTTTACTTGGCTGCCATTCCCAATGGTTACATTCACCAGCTATTCAAGTAATGTGTTACACCACCGAGCTAGGCACTCCACAAATTTGTTTGTTTTGCTTCTAAAGTTCCTAAGTTGGGCTCAACTCTTGTAGTTCTAGAAGCAATTTGCAGAAGAGGAAAGATAGAAGAAAGCGGTGAGAAGGAAGGGCAGGAAATGCATTTAGACTATATACTACTGTGTGGTCTGACCAGGTAACTCAACTTTAGAAATGGCAATGCTGCCACCTTGTGTTTTTTGTTCTCATCACAGTTCTTTCCCCCAGCTACCTGCCCTGCAGAAACACCGAAAGGCTGCAGGTTGCAACGTCTTGTGCATCCCGCACGTTTTGGGTGTCTCTCAGCCTACAGCCTTAGCATTACGGTGTAGAGATCACGCTGTGCTTTCATGGTGTCTGTCCTATTTGCAAAGTCATTCACAGGGAGGGAGCTGTGCCTCAAAGTTCAGTAGATAAATCTCTGTTGCTTGCTGTTCCTTTTTAACGTTTGTCTTTGCTGTTTCCGCTTTGTTCCCTTTACATTTTGTCCCTTTGTGGTGGTGAAATAGTAACAGTTAAAACAAGAATATCTGAACTGTGCTGAATCTGCTGTCTGCTTGTTTACATCTCTTTCAAAAAGAGCCACAGAGGAAGGAAAGCTTTGGTGCCCTTCTGCCAGGAATAGATGAAGGAAACTGTAGCATTTTAGGAGCAGAAGAGAATCAGTGAATAAGGCCTGGGTGGTACTGACAAAAGACAGATGTAGGTTCCAATGATGCTTTTATTCAACTTCAGGCTGCTTTCCTGTGTTTAGTTCAATGGTAGGTAGAAGACAGCTGCAGGCTGTCTTTGAAGGGTTCAGGCTTTAATTTATAATGAAGGTTGTGGAGTTTTGCTTTTAATATATTTTATAGCAAATCCAATAGTTTAGGGTCTCCTGTTTCATCTTTATTTTGGTGATAAAAAGCATTATCCTGTTTGCAGCAGCTGGTATGGTTTTCCATTGACACCACGCTCATATTGTCCCACAGCACAACTGGTTGAAGTGCTCTCTATTGCCCATAAATGAAGTGCTCAGGAAAACACCTTTTTCTGTTCCAGTTTGTGCGTGAGAGTGTTGTGCAGATGCCGGAAGAGGAGTTCAGCGAGTGGTTTCAGAGCAGAGTGGCCCCTCTCCGTGCACAGTCGTCCACGTTATCACCAAAGGCCAGGTGAGAGGGGTTTATCACTTTGTGGCTTCGAGCAGGTCAGCGCTGTCTGCTGAGCCCTGCCTGGGGGAGAACGGAGAAGGGGGAGCCAACGTCAGGGAATGCCCCAGCCCCTCTCTGTCTGCCTGAGAACTGTCTCTCGGCGGCGCTCCGCGTGCTCCGCGTGCTGTGCCCAGCCACAGAAAGCAAACTCCGGGTCTTGTTGCTCCCGCCCGTGGGCTGCGATGGACACGCAGGCCAAGTTCAGCCTCACGGAGCCGGGTCTGAGCTCCCAGGCGCCCTCAGCTGTTCTCCTCCAGCAGGGCAAACACCAGGGCAGCGCTGGCATCTGCTTAGAACAACTGCACTCGTTCCCAGGTCTAAATACTATTGGCTTTGCTCTTCGATTCCCCTGCGTTACCCCACATCCCCACGGATCCCCCACGTGGCCCCACATGTCCCCACGGGTCTCCACATGTCCCCACACATCCTCGTGTGTCCCCACGCGCCTCCACATACCCCCATGTCACCACAGATCACTACGCGTCCCCACAAATCCCCCACGCTTCCCAACACGTCCCCGCGCATTCACACGTGTCCCTATGCGTCCCCATGCAGTCCCACACCTCCTCATAGGTCCCTACAAATCCCCACGTGTCCCCACATGTCCCCACGCATCTCCACAGATCCTGACATGTCCCCACTGGGCCACACGTGTCCCCACATGTCCCCTCACTTCCCCACATGTCCCCAGGCATGCCCATGTGTTCCACGCATAAGCACACGTCCTAACGCGCCCCATGAATCCCCATCTGTCCTGACACATCACCCATCACCACACGTCCCCACATGCCCAGACATATCCCCATGGGTCCCCTCACGTCCCCATGCATCCCCACACATCCTCACAGATCCCCATGCACCCCAACTTGTCCCCATGGGTCCCAACATGGCCCACACGTCACCACATATCCTCACGCATCCGCACACATCCCCACGTGTCCCCACGACATCCCCCCATGTCCCCATGCGTCCTGACACCTCCCCACAGCTCCCCAAGCGCCCGCACACGATCCCCATGTGTCCCCACGCATGCCCATGCATCCCCAGGGGTCCCCACGCCCTCCTCCCCCCCCCATCTCCACATGTTCCCTCATGTCCCCACTCATCCTCAATGTTCCCACGCGTCCCAACGTGTCCTCATGCATCCTCACACATCCCCACACGTCCCCACGTGTCCCCTCAAATCCATACGTGTGCCCAATGCGTCCCCACACATCCCCCCCGTCTCCAAACACGTCACCACATGTCCCCACCGCATTCCCCACACGTCTCCACAAGTGCACACACGTACCTATATGTCCCAACACATCCCCACGGGTCTCCACACGTCCCAAAAACCTCTTCACACATCCTCGCACGCTCTCACATGATGCCACATGTCCCCAAGCATCCCTATACGTCACCACGCATCCCTACCCATCCCCACATGTCCCTAAACATTCCCACACATCTGCACATATCCCCACACGTCCTCCCTGGCTCCCAAGCATCCCAACGTGTCCCCATGTGTCCCAAAACCTCTTCACACATCCCCACATGTCCCCACGTGTTCCCACACATCCCCACGTCTCCACAGTTCCCCACGTTCCCACACGTCCCCATGCGTCCCAACACATCCCCATGCATCCCCACATGTCCCCACAGTTCCCCACGTCCCAACAAGCCCCCATGCGTCCCCATGGATCCCCCGCACTTCCTCACACGTCTCCTCAGGCGTCCCCACACGTCACCAGGCATCCCCATATGTCCCCACACATCCCCAAACGTCTCCTCACGTACCCACGCATCCCCACGTGTCCCCCACACGTCCACATACATCCCCACACGTCTCCACAGATCCCCATGCATCCCCACGTGTCCCAACATGTCCCCACATATCCCAACATCACCACAGCTCCCCACGCATCCTCACGTCCCCCTCACGTCCCCACCGATCCTCATGTGTCCCAACAAGTGCACCCGCATCCCCAGATACCCCACCTATCCCCACATTTCCCCATGTCCCCCCATCCCCAAACATCCCCACACGTCCCTACGCCTCCCCACACATCTCCGCACTTCCGCACGCATCCCCATGGATCTGCACACACCCCCATCCATCCCAGCACATCCCCATCCATCCCCACACGTGTCCCCCCACCTATCCCCAACGCTTTCCCCACAGATCCCCAAACTTCTCCACACGTCACTAACAACCCTTCATGCCTGGGCTAGGCCTGCAGCTCTAGATGTTGCTGCTTGCCCCTGTGCTGACACTGGAGTAAAATTACAAATCTGATCCCAAGAGAAAAGCTTTGATTTAACTTAATCCCAGGCCATCTTTAACCAGGTAAACATTCCAGTTCCTACCCAAAAAGTGATAAAGAGGGAAGTGTGTAGTGATTAGTGAACCAGTGCTGATTTCATTTCTATTTAGCATTACCTAGAGGAATAAATGAAAAAAAAAAATCCTGTTCTCACTATGCATACGCTCTCACAATACTATCAGACTGCAGCATTTTTATAATATCAAACTTTATTGCTCAAAACTAATTGTCTGAAAAATACACATGTAGTACTCAAAGACCAAACACGTAGGCTTATATGATTGTGCAGAAAAAAAAGCAAGCAGAGGCTCAGGGAAGATGAGGCTTTAGAGTTGTACTAATGAGCACTGGCATCAAGCAACTGCCCCCACTGCACCTCACACAGCAGCCCCTGCTCCTCCCTGGGCCAGGAGGGAGTTCAGGACCTCACAATACTGCAGCCAAGGGGTTGATCTGGTTGAGAGCAGCTGCCCACAGGCCGGGAGGCTGCTCTCCCTGTCTGCATCTTATTCCAGAAGCAAAGTACAATCTAGAGAGTTAAGGGGAGGGCAGGAGGCTTTTTAAATACTTGATGTTACAGGATGTAGGTTTGTATAAAGCCTAACAGCGTCACAGAAAAGTGGAAGTTTACATACAACTGGTCATTTAATGCATAATAGGTCTTCCCAGGCATCCGAGTACCTGGCTACTTCATCAGTTTAATAAATATGTAAGAAAAAGCTGAAGGACTCGTGTTTAAATAGGTAGCATCTGACTAGTCACTGGAAGTCACAGTAAGTTCTCCATCAGTACCATGAAGATTTGAATGCACGCTAATTTAACCCTTAAAGTCAAAATACCACACTTTTGTCGAGAAGCACATAATATGCAAAGCAAAAACTATCAAACTCCCAAAGGATGGACCTGTTCTTAAAAATACACTCCATCCCTCTAAAAACACCCCTCTTTCTTGGGATACAGGAGGGATAAAGAAAAAATATCAGCGACAAAAGCAGCAGCTGTTTTATGCATTCATACAATCAAGATCTAAACCTTTACAGCCGGTTACCTAGAAAACACACAAGAGTTACAAGACAAGTTTAGGATACACCTTGAATCACACTGCAAGTGTTCATGCAGAAGCTGAAGTTAATGCAACCATCTATCCTCTATCACAGCAGCTCGTGCTTATGTGCAAATGCAAGACTGTTACACTCCAAACAAGAGTAAACATTGAAACACAAGAATACTTCACAATGACAATAAACAGCAGTTACGGTGTTTGTTCCAGCAGTTATTGCGCTATTTTCTGGACATCTCTCCAGTTAAAGGCTGCAGCAAGGTCTAATACCATCCTTTTATTTATTTTCTTCTTAGAATGCATAATATGTTCTAGACTTTGGTTCACAATGAAATCTCTGGATGTTTTCATTAAGGGCAATGGTCACCTTCTCGTGACTCAGATAGTGGCAGACTGAGGTAATACAACAATCCTCTTAAAAATAATAAAAACAAATTAAGTGAGGCATCTATGGATATTCTGCAGGTGACCTGCAAAAACATTGACATTCGGATTTCAGAAAAATAAAGACCTACAAGGGTGATGTCTTTTACAGTGCTATCCAAGTAGATTTTTCTGCTGAAAAGACTAAGTAGAAATAAAACCTACCTAACAGTTAATAGTTTAGGCATAGAAGATATAAGCCCTGTCTTTATGAAAGAGAGACAAACAGCAATCACTGTTTGTCAGTACTGCACCAGTTTTACACACCTTTCCAAGATGGAGATTTATTAAAGCTATACTGAAAAACAAAAAGCAGAGGCAGTATTTTTTTTTCTAATTTTTGTTTTTTAGATAGGCCACTTGCTTAAATAAAACTTTCTGTATAGTTTTCCAACTACCCGTGTATCCTGCACTAACAGGACTATCTTACAGAACTGAAAAGCTAAATACAGTAATGAGTAATGGGGGACTTCATCTCTGTAGAGACCTCTGAGCAGGTGGCTCCAACACAGGAGCAGGGAAAACTCCAGGACTTGTTTAAACACTTCTCGACCCCCAGACAGGATAAGCAGCGTGTTACAAAACATTAGCTTGGGAGAAAAACTGAAATCCACAGATTTCCAAAATAACAGAGGCGATATTAAAGGAGGTCTGACAATACTGATGCCAATATTGTTAAAATCCAGTAGGCACAATTCATTATACTGCAATACACTATACGTAACATGGTTAAAAGAAAATAATAATAATAATAATAAAATCCCTATCCAGGTAAGTCCCGGGAGCTGCAGCAATGCTACAGAACTGATGTCTTCCGCTCTTGGCAGAGTGCAAGATGCAGCAGCACAACTCTCAATTCCTGGACAAACACTGCAGCGTCACCACCCCTTGGTTTGCACTTTTGTAAAGACCAAACCAAAGAACCCACAAAAGAAGGTTCTGAGACAAGACTTACTGCAATCACCCAGGAAAGAACCCAAAATGAGGGCAGAAAACAACCACCAAGCAACCCCCAAAACAGAAAACACACCGAACAAGGAGCAGTGCTTTCACTACAGCCAAAAGTATTTCTTCTGTGTTCAATTTATTAAAGCCTCATATGACATTAGTGAGTACTGCCTGTTCTAAGATTGTATTTTAAAGTATTTGCATATTCATGATTTCATGTTAAACAGCACAAGTTGTTATGGTCTCATTCTACTTCTTACTCTATGATGTATTCCAAATCTACATTCTAATTTTCATTGCAGAAGTTACACTTTTTCTTCAAAAACTAAAACATAATAAAAAAAGTAAAAACAATTAAAAAAATGTAAAATTGCTGCAATTATTTCAGATTTCTCAAAGTTCTTTCAAAATTCTTGCTTTTATGGTGCAAATTACTTAAGACTTAATTCATCAAGTCAGATGTATTCTGACTTCAAACATGAGAAGCTGTTTTATTGCTGGGGAGAGGGAGGAGAACATCTTTAAACAACACATTGGCAAAATATCTTCAGACTGTCAACCATCTTCAGCTACATTTTGTCTCCAAGCTTTGAAAACAGCCTTTCAAGTGGCAAACTTGGAGCTTTTACACTAATCAAGCAAATAGGACTGTATTTTCCACTTTCAATTGATCTGCAAACTACCAGAGGTTCTTTTAAATTAAAAAAAAAAAAAGCCCAACAATTTGGAATATCTAGCTTGTTGCTCTTAACACTACCAGGTACGCTTGTTCTTTTCAAGTAAAAACAACAAGAAAAGGGTCTCAACCCCCCACCCGGCCCCCCACAAAACACCAACCAAACCTGCCTACTGTGATCTTGAACATCCACCTGGCAGGAGACAGAACGACCAAAAGAAACAGCATTACTGGCCTGATCCTATGGCATGAGACACATTGCTCATCACTTCCGTGTATTCTTACCAAAGTGTCTTATCAGTGCATATTATTATGTGCTGAAATGCAACAAATCTTTTCACAAAAATAGTTGTAGGCATGTTCATACAGAAAGTGTATATATAATTCATATATATGTATACATACTATATATAGTATCAGCTTCAACCTGTACATAGATATTCTGAATTTGATCCTTAAAACACATCCGTTTCAAACAGCATGGATGACTTTCAAGGAAAAAGTGCTTGCTTGAGTTTATCCTGTGTGAACATGCCTGTTCTCTGGGCATTTACCCAAGTAGAGATCTTTATGATCAACCCTTTAAACATACATATCAGAGGTATAAAAAGAGGAAAAAAAAAAGGAAAATAAGGAAAATAAAAAAAGGAAAATGTAATATTGCCCTGATGCAGAAAGAATAATGCATAACTGAAGCAGCTTGGACTTTAAGTTATCTTGCATTCTGCAGCAAACAGACTTTTAAATAATTGCTGAAAATCTAGTTCCTCCATTTGTGTTATTGCTCCCCACTTGTGAGATTCCTCATTACACATCAACAGTGCACAGAGGTTCACTACCAGGCTGAGCTGATTCTACTATCGTCATCTTGGGTTTCTTTCGTGTTTCCTCCTTAAAGGAAAAAGCAAAGAAACAAAACATGAAAAACACATCAATCAAAAAACCAACACACAGATAAAAAGAGAACGCAATATTAAAATACAGCCTTAAAAGTCTGCAAAATTTTTGCCAAAACTTCTATCTTAATCTTTGTAAATAGAGAATGAAAGTTTCTCTTAAAACTACCCCAAAAAATCAAGCTTTGAACATTTGCCCTTTAAAGGAAATATTTTAGAAAACTGCAACAAAAATCAAAGCATATTTGGCGAGTCTAACATGTGGCACTTTTCTTGTTTGTAAATACAAAAAAAGATGCACAGCTACTACTCACTCTTTCTTGAGCCAGTTTTTTCATTTCTTCCTGCAACTTGTTCAGGATGTGCAGATTTGGCTTGTTCTTTTTGGCATACTGCTGAAGTTCTATCACACTTTTATCAGATGTTTCCTATTCAACAGGACCATAAGCAACAAAAGTACTTTAATAAAATAAAATCCAAGTACATGGAATTACATGGAAAATAAATGGATGAGATGGCTGTCTACAAGATCTCTGTGAGATTAACAGACTTGTTATCCTCAGTGAAAATGTATTTGGCAATAGCTAGGTAGGAGAATCAATTCAGAAGAAAGCAAGATTAATCAAACATTGTTTAGCATGACAGGGAACAACAGTATTATGCTAAAATAGGTATCATTAAAGCTGTTGTAATAAAATAAAGAACAAAGGAAACGCCAAGAAGCAATCACAACTTACAATTACAATAAATTATGTTTACCTGTTTAACCATCTTGCTACTCTCTCTACCATACATACGCAGAAGAGAACCCCAGTTTTTCACATGTGGATGCAGTAGCTGTAGGATTTTCTGTGAAGCTAATTGTTTCCCCACTCTTTTATTCTTGCCTGTAAAAACAATTGTGAAAATGCATTGTACCAGGACCTTCCATAATTAGTAGAATCCCAATATTTACACACATTACCAAAATTTAGATAGCAGAGAAGAGCAGAATAAGCATAAAATGAGTGAGAAAGCTTAACAAGCACCTGCAAAACAATAAAGGAAAACAGGAGAAGGAGGAATATATTGGACATCACACTGAAGTACTGCACTTACACCAGCCTCGCACTGTGTGCTTGCCACACGTCATGACATATTCACTCTTCTGATTTTTCCCAGGAATCACTTCAAACTTTATGGATGTGTCACCCATTCCATGGTTTCTTAAGCACAAGAAGCAGTATCATAAAGTAAGTAAAATTACAATTAACTGAGAGAGTTAGTTATCTGTAACAGTCAATGCAGTAGAATAAAACTTAACTTTAGTATATTTAAAGATATATTAATTAATAAGAGAACACTGCTTTAGATCAGTAACTTGGTTTAAAGTGAAAGCCAAACCTATATAAGGGGGAAAAAAGTGCCAAGGCTCAAGCCTCATCTCGGAACCCCAGAGGTGTAAGAGCAAATACGAGCTAAGGGACAGTAGGCACCTGAGCTGTGCCTTGCCCCTCATGGTCACAGAGGCACTGCAGGCTTGGCCAGCCCACGAGCATCCGCGTGGAGGAACAAGGAACCCTGACCCAAACATCCACATGCAAAAGAACTGGCTCCTTATTGTCCTCCTTACCTTTTAAGGCACTCATGGAGAATCTGATATGGAGACAAGAGTCCAGCTTTACTGGTCAGTTCATATACCCGTGAGTCCTCAATACTGATATGGTTAAAATACTACAAAGGAATTGAAAGAGGTGATGAAGCGTTTATGCAACCAAAAGTTCCCAGTAATCATCAGGCAAGGAGACAGTACCTCAAGTTCTTCACTGTCTTTGGGCTTCTCCTCGGAGGTCTGTTTAACAAAGTCAGGAATAAGGATTTCCAGTGTAGCTCGAGCTGTGGAGAAAAATTCAGTGTCTTGATTACTTTTACTTTAAACAGGGATTCTGATCAAAAACAGCAGAATAAAAAA